GCCACCAGTGCAGTCCTCCATGCATCATCCCCTGGCTATCAGGGCCGATTTTTAGGTTAATTCTTAGGTCTTTATACCACTTGGCAATATCCAAGCTGTCTGTGCCATCAGGATCACTGAAAGACCACCACTCCATATGTCCCTCTTTCGGTGTTTTCATGCAGGTTCTTCTACTAGTTGGAGTTTAATCCACTTTTGTATTCTTCCTTTCAAAGCTCAGGGCTCCAGGATTATCTTCTGTATCTGTATTAATTTGTTCCCATTTTCCTTGTTGAGGAAGGTGTTTTTAGTTTGTCTGCCTATTCTGCTGCCTCACCAGAACCTCCCTATTTTGTCCATTTGTTCTTGTTTTGTTTTCCTAAATTCTTCTAGAGTTTTGTCTGGCTTTTCCTTGATTTTGTCTGTGTTTTCTTTGATCTATCTCTCAATCTGTTGAAGGTACCTAAATATTATTCTTTTGAGTTCCTTACCAGGTTGTTGTAATACCACTTGTTCCTCAGGGAGGTTTTCTTGCTCTGTGTTCTGGTCCCTTGTTTATACTTGTTTATCTTGCTTCTGTGTGTAAACTGGGATTGTCAGTTGCCTCTGAGGCACTGTGATATCATTGTATTTCTATTTAATTGGTGTTGTTGGTGTGATTTGCCCAGTTTATTTATTTATTTTTGATATATAAAAGCAAGTGGGACTGGTATGCTACTTTTTTTTGCTCGTTTGGTAGCACTTAGGCACTCACCTGTCTCCTGGTAGGTGTGATAGAGAATGATAATTTGTGCACAGTTCTCTGTTAGCTATTTGTTTAGAGTAGCTGAGGACAGGTTGTGTTAGTATTGGCTGCCTTCTTTCATTGATCAGTTGGTGGGGAAGCAGTCAATAACCCTCACCCAGTGGATGGAACTGCAGGAGGTACAGATGTAGTTGGGTTGTGTGGGCATGGCTGCTTTTAACTAAATAAATAAATAAATAAATAACAAAAAAAAAATGACAACAGAGTACAAAACAGAAGCAATATAAACAATCAACAACTACAAAAAGAAAAAACAATAAAAAAAAACAGGAAATGGAAAAAGAAGTAGAATAAAGCGAAAAAGAAAAAGACAGCATCTGGGTGTTAAAAACAGAGTGAGAGAAAAAGAACAGTAAATAAAAAATCAGAAAAGTTGAAAAAGAAAAACAAAGGATAGAAAAAATAAAAATAAAAAGTGACAAAATGAAAGAAACAAGAAAGGAATCAGGAAAAGGGAAAAAAGCAAAACAAACTAGAAGTAGGGAAGGATGAAAAGAACAAATGAAAGGAAGAAAAAATAATTTTAATTTAAAAAAAAACAACTGGGAGGTGGTGTAGGGTATGTCAGTGTTCTTCCTGCTGGTCAAGCAGGTGGCAGGGTGCAGAGCTTCTTGTCCTAGCACTAGTTCCTGTCTACCCAGAGGGCAACTGGGGGCAGGGTGCCTGATCCCAGACAAGTTCCTGCTCACCAAGAATATGTCTAGGGGCAGGGCACCTGAACCCAGAAAAAACTCATTCTGCTCAAACAGGAGCTGGGAGCAAGACACCTGGTGCCAGAAGGAATAACTACCAGCTCATAAAGCACCTGGGGACAGGGTATCTGGTCTCAGAAAAAGTTCCCGCTGCTCCAAAAAGCAGCTGGGTGTAAGACACCTTGTCCTAGCAAAAGTTCCTACCAGCCCAAAAAGCAGCTGGGAGTAGGGTGGCTGATTTTGGAACTAGTTCCTGTCTACCCAGAAAGCTGCTAGGGTCAGGGTGCCTGATCCCAGTTGAATTTGTATTGGCCCAGAAGGTATTTGAAGGCAGGGTGCCTGGACGCAGAAAAAGTCTTTGTTTGTCCAAAAGATGAATGAGAGCAAGTCACCTAATTCCAGAGGGAGTTCCTGCTGGCTTGCTAAGCAGCTATGGGTAGGGCATCTGATCCCACACAAAGTTCCTGCTGTCTCTAAAGGCAACTGGGTGCAGGACCCCATTCCCAGAAAAAGTTCCTGCCTTCCCAAAAGCTGGCTGGGTGTATAGAGTACCTGGTCTCAGAAAAAGTTCCTACTGTCTCAAATGGTGACAGGCAGCAGGGTGCCTAGTCCTGGGACCAGTTCTTGCCTGTCCAGAAGGCAGCTGGTGGCAAGACACCTGGTCCAGAATGGAATTGCTTTTCATCCAGAATGGATGGCCACACCTCCATTCACAAGAAGGGTGTAGGGTACAAGGGGAACAAGGGGTAGATACATCTTTCTGGTTGTCAGCCACCAGTGTGGTTGCCAGTGCAGACTTCATCAGGTTGCTGCCCACATTGTAACGCCACTTGCAGATATTCAAAATGGCCATGCCATCAGGTTAGCCAACACCCCACAGGTCTATTTGTCTCTTTATTCACTGTTTTCATTCAGTCTCTTCTACTAGTTGGTATTTAATCTGCTTCTTTATCCTTTCCTTCAAAGCTCAGGGTTCCAGGATTATCTTCTATATCTGTTTCAATTGGTTTCTTGTTTCTTTGTTATAGAAATTTTGTGTAGCCTATCTGCCTGTTCCACCATTTTGCTGGAAGTCCCCTAATACAATCATAATTTTTTTTCATTCAATTATATAAACACTGTCTTATACAGACAATATGAACTTGAAATATATTCTCCTACAATTGGAGTTTAGTTTCTTGAGTCAGTCTTTTTCAAACTTAAGTCCTTGGAATGCTCAGTTTGGAAAATGTATTCTCAGGAGACTGGGAGAACTCTTTCTGCTAATAACACTCATGCATTACTGAGTTTGAGAAAAGCTACTCCTTCTTAGTGTCTGCTTGGCTCCTACCCCTTTCTCAACCCTCCTATGAGTGAATGGGAAGTAAGCTCGTCCTCCAGCAAACACTGGCCCCAGCCATGTCCCTTTGATTCTTATCTTCAGCATGGTCCAGATGACTCCATCCTCAGTCTTCTCTCATTCCCTCCCATGCAATGAACATGCTCCCTCTATCCCATGTCCTTCTCTATCCTGCCTGGGATTTTGTAGCCTCTGCAGAGGATTCTCTATGGGCAGGTGAGGCTCACAAGCACCCACTCTCTCTGACACACAGACATTTGGAAGGCAGAGCTCTTACTTCTGCTCCACAACATTGCCCATGACCCCCAAATTGGCCTTTTCTACTCTAATTCATTTCCATTGCCTGGGGAACCCAGAACCTACAGAAAGAGATCCAGAGCTGTAAGGGACCATAGATCTAGAAAGGCTTCTCTATCTGCATACTTTGGCTTCGATAAGGAATCTTGTCCACTCTCCATCCCTCTACATATTTCGCCTCTGGGATTCCCCTTTTGAGGCAGCCCCTCGAGCCCATCCCATTGGAAGAGTTGTTGCTGTAGTCTGCCGGTGCCCCCCCCCGCCCCCAGGGACCCACAGGTTTCCAAGACCCTGTGCTGACAAGGGTCTCTACAAGCTCTGAGCCCTGTCTGCAGTCTGCCAAACCCCTTGTCTGCTTCTCTTTGCTCAAGCTGAGTTGATGTCTTGTCAGCATGGGCTTTGATGAGGCAGGATTAGGGCACACACAGTTGTCCAGATTACAACCTTTCACCCAGAGGTGTTATCTACAGCACAACAGAGAAAGCCTTTAGAAATTTCAGCATAGGGAATCAGTACCATTCTTTCCTCCTAAGACTGGGGTTAAATATATAGGGATGATGAAAGCCAGCTGTAAATACTGCTGAGCAAATGCAGTGGCTAAGAACAGAACACTCCTTGCAGGTGGGTTATCTTTGCTCCCTCATTGTTCTTAATCACTGGACTTGGGGTGGGGTGAGCACCAAAGGCAGCAGTTCACCCATCCTTGCCACTAATTTCCTTGAAGGAGCCTCCCAGCCTGCTCCTTTGCTCCTTGCCCCTTCCTCCTCCCAGGTCGGGCCCCAGAGGAGTAGGGCGCGTCCCATCTGCCCTCTGGATCTGTTCTGTGAAGCTGCTCTCAAAGTGTTCCAGCCCAGGTCATGTGTGGTGACATCCTACAAGGTCAGAGCCCTGGGAAAGCCATATTATGGGGGCTGAGAGAGCCCCTCCAGGTAGCCTCCTCCAGGTGGCCTGGGAGAGAAGCAGGCTGTGGGGATTTAAAATCTGTATAGCTCAGTTGTGTTCCAATGCAGTTAAATTGTTTTGTCAAAGATTATTTTAAAAGACCAGGGTGCTGGGTCTTGGGAGGATAGCATCAAATCATGTGTGAAAAGTCAGCTTTCTGCTTCTGAAGAAACAGTGGAAGCTTGTTCTCATGGCTTCAGAGTCTAGTCATCGGTCCCTAAAGTGCCTACCCACAGGTCACTGGTGTGATTTAAAATAACAAGATAAAAAAAAAGCTGAGTTTCTCATTATGTTATTTTTCACATTTCCTTCATAACCTGCTTTTAGACAAAAGACATTTCATTCTATATCCAGATAGTCACATTGTTGCCACTAATTTTTATTTCTAATTAGTTCCATACCATTAAATAACTCTTTAAAAGGCTAACCTCACTGTTCTAATATGCTTCCCATGCCTTTGTATTTTCTTTCAATACTGTCCTTTACATGTGTTTTATGTGACTTGTCAACACAGTATATACGTGTCCTGCTTATCTTTATTTGACACATTATAAGATGTTTTCCAGATTGCAAAGTGGTCTTCATAATACTAGTGTTTTTTGCAGTTTTTGCTGGTGATCTGCTATAATTCACTGAAGCATTATTTGCTAGTGACCTTTTCAAATGTATCAATACATAAGGGTTAAGCCACCCTGGGTGAGTGGATTTCAGGGTGGGCACTGGGTGGATTCTTGGTGTGGAGCCTGAGCTGCTTCCCAAAGGCAGGATATATACTTCACCTGTCCCCTAGGGAGGCCTACAGTGAACATTGTCTTTTGTTACTCAATTTTTGCTATTTTAATGAAAATGCAAAATTATATCTTGTTATTTTAGTTTTAATCAGTTGTATTAGTAGAAATGTGAAACACTGGATTCACAAATGTTTTTGTGTGTTTTGGTGTTTCAGATCCGAAAGACATCAAGTGCACTTCCACGCTTACAACGGTAAAGACCTGCCCTCTGTTCCTTGTCATCTGCTAGGACAGTTTGTTTTTGCCAGGTGTTCTGATGACTGTCTCAGTCACCTCCTTGTTCTAAATGTACAGTGTCCTTCAGTGGGGTATGGATGTGGTCCCCATCCTCAGAATAATGGCAATCTTAGGAAAGTGCTGATAACAATAGCACCACAAACCAGATGGAAGGTTGGTGCACTGTGCGCTAAGAACCTCCATGCTGAGGGAACCAGAGGCTGGTGGGCTGACCAAGCCTGATGGGGAGTGCTTTCCTCCAGACTGAGTATGATCATACCTTTGTGGGTATGGAAGTATGACTGAGGAAAAACATGCAGTTGAATAGATGTCAAACTTTAAACTGGTCACTTTAAACTGTGATCACAATTCTCAGGTGGGCCATCTGGACTGCTCAGCCTGCTGACCACATTGTCCTAGTCAGTTTAACTTCATGAACCTCTCTCCTCCAGCCTCTCCCACACTTAGCTGACAGTGACCATATGTTATGGATAGCTGAGAAAAACCGAAACTTGATTAGAAAGCTTGCACATGCTAACTCCTCGCCTTCATTCCTACATCCATGTGCTTGCCTACAGCCTTCCTGGAGGCCCTGGTAGGGAACTGCACCTATCCCACCCAAGCTCCTGAGCTCCTGCACCTAGTCCTCTCATCTTCACTCCCCACCCCCAACCTCCTACACCACTCTCACCTGCCACCCTATGCATTATCATCCATCTCAGAAGAAAACCTCTCTTGCTCTCATGTCCTACTCTAGGCACCTCTTTCCCCTGTCTTCTGCTCTCACTTGTAGGAGATCCTAAAAGAGCTTTCTCTCCCCAACATCTTCATTAGTACAGCCTCCTTCCTCTCTCCTACCTGCTTTGAATAGGCCTTGCTCCCACCATCCATTGACATGGCCTTGGTCAAAGTCGGCAGTAACATCACTGCTCTGGCCTCATCCCACTTGGCCTGTCTGCAGCATTGAAGACAGGTATTCTCTCCCTGTGAAGTGTTCTCTTCCTTTGGCATCTATGATACCTGTTGCCCTGGTTTTCTTGTAACACATTGGCTGTTCCTGCCCAAAGTGCTTTTTTGCTAGCCCCCCAAACATGGGGGCACCTTGGTCCAGTCTTTGGCCCTTTATCTTATTTATACTTTAACATTAGTGACCTCCCCAGGCCCATGTGCACTGATTCCCCCATTTATGTCCCTTGCATGACCCTCTGCCCTGAACTCCACAGTCATAGGTCTAACTACTGACTTGACATTCCTATTTACACAGCTGTCTGGTTGTCATCTCAGACTTAGCATGACCAAACTAGACATCTTGGTTTCATGCTATGAATTTATGAGCCCCTGGCATTGCCTATCTTGGTCATAGAAGAGCCACTCCAGCTTCTCCTTCCATTAGCCCCATGCCCAGCCCATTGGCAGGATCCATCAGTTCTGATTTCATTGTATGTGTAAATCTATGTGCATGTGTGTATATGCATACATGTGGGTGCATGTGTGTGGTGCCCATGAGTACAGGCAACATAAACACTTCCCTTCATCTCCACTACCACCATTCTAGTCCAGGTTGCTCTCTGTCATCTCTCCACTCAGCTAGTATTCATTTGTTGTTGTTGCTATGTGCCCTCGAGTCGGACCCGACTCATAGTGATCCCTCCTTGGGTTTCTGAGGCAATATCACTACAGAAGTAGATTGCCCCATCTTCCTTCCAAGGAGTGGCTGGTGGGTGTGAGCCGCCAGCCTTCTGGTTAGCAGTCAAGTGCCTTAGGCACTATGCTACCAGAGCTCCTAGTATTCATTAGCCTCCTATTTAAAAAAAAAAAAAAATCCACTTCTGCTCCCTGAAAATTCCTACTTCACCCAGAAGGATTTTCTTAGATAAGTCAGATCATGGCACTGCCTTGCTTACCACTCTCCAGTGGGTTCCCATTTTGCTCTGCACAAAGCCCTCATCATGCTCGGCCCATAAGGCCCTGTGTGATGGGGCTCACTCCCACCTGGGTGAGGATAATTTCTCTAGTTGCCTTGGCACTTGCCTCATCTTGATCCTGACCCTTATTCTCTACTTTAGCCTCATGCCCTTTGCATCTATTCTTTATTCTGCTGGAATGCTCTCCTCCACATGAGTATGATCAATCTCAGCTCAAATGTCACCTCTTCAGAGTAGCATCCTGGACCACCCCATCTAAAAGCCACCACTGCAGCTCAGGCCTTGGCCCCCCTGCCAGAGCACTTGTCGCTCTCTGAAGTTACATCATTTTGTTGACAGTTTCCCTGTTTATCATAATAGTGTAAGAACTATGCAAGTTGAGCCTTGTCTTGGTCACTACAGAATCCCCAGTCATCAGAACAGAGCCTAGCAGTGCACAGAAATGGAGGCAGCAGTTTCCTCTTGTCTATGTTTGTATACACTGGGCTGATGAGAAGGATTCTGGTGCTTATTAAACAAAAACAAAAATAAGAAAACAAATGAAATCAATTTTGAAATCCACTGCCTTAGGAGCTCTGGTGGCATACTGCCTAAGGCATTTGACTGCTAAGAGAAGGTTGGCAATTCAAATCCACTGGCCATTCCTCGGAAGGAAGGTTGGGCAATCTACTTCCACAGTGATACCACCTCGGAAACCCAAGAAGGAAGGGGTCGCTATGAGTCGGATCTGACTCAAGGGCAATGAGTTTGGTTTTGGGGAAGTTAAACACATGAAGTTTTTTTAAAACTAGAGTCGATATTTAAAGGCTCTCTAAAAGCCATTTTTTCTGCCACAAGCCTGAACTTCACCTTTCAGGCTGACACAGATCAAGGACATTTTTAGCTGTACAGTTTTTAGAGGTTTTTTAATGGTATGACGACCAGCTGCCTCTAGAACTGGGGAAGAACTTTGATGGTCACCTGGAATAGTCTTCCTCCTTGGAATATTTCTGTCCCCTCCAGAAAGGGCTTCTCCCACCCAGCAGAGGCCAGGCCGGGGCTGGGAAGCAGGAACTTTGTGTGGATTGTGTCTTGGGAGGGTATTTTCCTCTTGCTCAGCTTTTAGGAGAATGAGAGAGCACATCCCCATGTGCAAGATGGGAGTCCTGCTGTTTGTTTCTGTGAATCGAGGGCTAAGCCTGTGGTTTATTTTCTTCTGTTCCCCCCTACCTAAACACTTCCCTGAGCCCCTGGGGTGCTGAGCTACCTCCTAGGTGCTATGTGCTTTCTCTCCTTGGAGGTCATAGAGGGAGAGATGGACTCTCTGGGGTGCATGTCATCCATCTCTGCAGAGCAGGAACCGGGCTCTCATTTGGTAGCAAGGGTGTGTTCTTCCTTCTGAATCAATTGTGACACAGGAAGAGCCTCTGTTACCTCACTTGTTAAAGAAAAACCTTGGTCTCTATTCTTTCTAAAGGTGTTTCATTTCAAAAGCCATTTTCAAAAAATATCACAGGCTATAAGGAATGTCATTGTAGTTAGTTGCTGTTGAATTGACCCTGACGCTTGGTGCCCCATGTGACGTGTGTCCCCATGTGTGTAGCACTGTGCTCCATAGGGTTTTCAGTGGCTGATTTTTCAGAAGTAGATCGATCACCTGGACTTTATCCCAAGGAGCCTCTGGGAGGATTGAAGCCACCAACCTTTCTGTTACCAGCCTTAGAGTAAGATAATTGTTGTACCACCCAAGGAATATGAAAAAAGCAAAAAAATAAAACATCCACTGCCATCAAGTCAATTCTGACTCATAGTGACCTTATAGGACAGAGTAGAGCTGCCTGCCCCATAGCTATAAGTCTTTATGGAAGCAGACTGCTTTATCTTTCTCCTGAGGAGCAGCTGGTGGGTTCAAACCAGCCACCTTTTGGTTAGCAGCCAAATGCTTTAACCACAGTACCACCAGAGCTCCCTCTCAAGGACTATCCGAACCCACTGCCATCAAGACAATTCCGAATCATCGTGACCTATTGGACAGGGTAGAATCACCCCAAAGGGTTTTCAAGGCTGTAAATCTTTACAGAAGCAGAGTAGAGAGCAGCTGGTGTGTTCAAATTCTTTAACTCCTGTGCCACCAGGGCTCCTTCTCAAGAGCTATAAGAAATGTTAAATTGCCTTGTCATCCTATGTTTTTGTATACCCTGGCCTTGGAGTATTCTCTAAGAATTTTATTTTTACTTCCTGTTATCTGAGGGTCTGGACCTTGAGAGTAAAATGATTAGCCCATTGTTTTGTTTTAATCATTTATTTTCCCTTGGTAGTTTTTTGTGAGGATTGTATCATTGTTTCAAGTAAAGTTAGATTTAATTTCTAGCTGTTGATTTGGTAATTGGTTTAATTAAACTGTTTTCTCCCAGCATCCCAAAGGCTTCGAGAATGGTACAAACAGATTTAGACTCCAGAAGCAAATCCTAAACAATGAAAAGAAAAAGCCTCTGGTAAGTTATACCTGATACTCCTTTCGTGACAGTCCAAGCACCAGGAAAGCTCCAAGGCGCAGAGGCCATTTGCCCCTCTGCCTTCCTGACATCCCCACAGACATCTCAGGTTGTTAGAAAATAGGTCTCAATTGTATTTCTTCACTACAATTTGAGTTTGCTCTTGTTAGATTTCTTTGGATAGTAGACTAAGATTATTTAAGTTTTAAAATCAAATTTGATTTTTAAGTGATTCATTCATTCAGGTACTGTTTGTTGGCATTCAGAATGCCAGCCCTGCTCCAGGTGAGGCTCCAGCTATGAGGATCAGACCGCCTCTGTTCTTGTGGAGCTTACGTTCAGGGGGGTTAGAAATACAGACAGAAAGGCAAACAGAAAAACCAAAAGAACCAAACCCACTGCCATTAAGTCGATTCCAACTCATAGCGACCCCCATTGGGTTTCAGAGGCAGTAAATTTTTATGGAAGTAGATTGCCCCGTCGTCCTTCTGTGGAGTGACTAGTGGGTTTGAACCACTAACCTTCCAGTTAGTTAGCAATCAAATACCTTACGCACTATGCCACCAGAGCTCCTTGACAGACAGCAGGGTGATATGTCAAGTGGTTTTGAGTGCCAGGAAGACAAATCTTCGAAGAAAGGGATGGGCAGACACTGTTTCAAAAGGAGGTGGGGTAGGTGGGTGGTGGTTTGGGGTAGACTTCCCTCAGAGGGGCATATCGGGTAGAGATGTGAAAAGAGTGAGGGAAAACCTGCAGGTACCTGGGCCAAGAGGGTTTGGGGCAGAGAGAGTACAGAGTGTGCCAGGTGTATGAGGTGCACACAGGAAGTTAATATCATGTGACCAAGAAAAGGTAAGAGAAAGGAGATTAAGATAAAAAGTTGTTTTCCACTTCTTCTACTCCCCTCCCCCATTTTACAGATGCTGGGGCACAAAGATGCTAAGTCACCTTCCTGACTGCCCTGGAAAGTAGGCAGCCTCGATCTAAGCCCAGCAGTCTCTGCCAGGCTGCACCACACCCCAACTGCTCCCTGCCCACTTCTCACACACTGTGGAGCAGTTAGAGGCATTTTTAGATTTAGTTTCAATCATTGAAATTATAAGCCATTGTATTTTCTTTTTAAATCAAATAGCTTAAAGGATAAGTACACTAAAGTTTCATACATTTTTTTCCTCCTTTATTGCCTGGGGAAATTTATTTGTGGTGATTGAAATACTAGAGAGGGAAAAATGATGTCTTGCATGTCTTAGTTCTTAGATTTTAGAAAGAGTGCAGGTAGTGATTAACTCAACTGAAGCATTTTAACATCTCTACCCACTTCTGAATTTACATTTTAAAAAAATCAGGTCTTAAATAATGTCTGAATGACTAGACTTCCTCTCTGATTATTATTGAGGGCTTGCCTTGTCCTTTTGAACCAAGACCACAGATCCCATTTTTCTGGTGTAACTGACCAGTAAAACTAGCCTTATCTTCTGAATATAGCTTCCCTCTTTCCTTTTCTGTCCCTTCAGTGAAAGTTTCCATACATGTTACCAGAGGACCAGCTACATTTGTAGTGACCCTAAGAGATTGCGCTTTGGGCACATTGACACCCCAGGCTGACGGTGAGGTGGATATTGCTGAACAGGGTTGGTCAGTCAAGAGTGTCACTGTCAGCAGCTCTTGTACAGATGCCTCTAAGCAGTAAACCAGGCTGGGTCTTCTCCATGTTGTTGTTTGTTGTTAGGTGCCATTGAGTCAGCTCCGACTCATAGAGACCTATGAGAAAGTACAGCAGAAAGAAACACTGCCTGGTCCTGCACCATCCTCACAATCCTTGCTATCCTTGAGCCCATTGTTTGAGCCACTGTGTCAGTCTATCTCATTGAGGGTCTTCCCCTTTTACACTGACCTCTACCCATCGTGATATCCTTCTCCAGGGACTGGTCCCTTCTGACAGCATGACCAAAGTATAACAGATAAAGTCTGGCCATTTTTGCTTCTAAGGAGCATTCTAGCTGTACTTCTGAGGCAGATGCGTCTTGGACAAATCTGGACCACTACTTTCCTTCATTTTTAGATTAGATTGGAAGACAGATTTGTCCTTCTCCCTATATCATAGGAACAGCTCCTGAACTGAAGCTAGCTCATAGATCAACAGTAGGGAGTCTGATACACTTGATGGGGACTCCCAGCTCCCCCTTTATCCAGCATGATCCTGTTCTGATCCTCTGAGACTCAGGAGTTGAACATTACACACCCCATTACTTCACTGCTTTTCAGAGGGCTGATTCAGAAAGACTTAATAGAGAAAGCTAAAGAAAGCATGGGGGCTGGAGGCAAGTAGTATCACTTAGCCACATGGTGAACTCTCTTCCTATTGTCAGCTTTATCTATTTTTTAAAAATTTTATTATAACTTGGGTGAAAGTTTACACAGCAAATTCATCTTCCATACAGCAGCTCACATACACTTTATCTCATGACATTGACTGCAGTCTCCCACAATGCAATAGCTTTCCTCCCACCTCCTCCCCATAGGCACCTCCTCCCTGTGTCCTTCCCTCCCATGCACTCCTGCCCCAATTCTCAGCTTTATTTTGTTTTATCTTTTTGAAGATTGCCTAAGGCGGCAGGTGTAATTTGTTGTCCTCATCATCATTTGTCCCCTTGGTCTTTTCTTGGGCTTCTCTGAGCATCTTTCTGACACACTGTAGCTCAAAAACTGGCTCAACAAATGTATAAACCAAACCAAACTCACTGCCGTTGAGTCGATTTTGACTCATAGCAACCCCTTGGGTGGGTTTGCAAGGTGGTATCACTATGGAAGTAGATTGTCCAGCCTTCCTTCCAAGGAGTGGTTGGTGGGTTTGAACTGCCAGCCTTCTGGTTAGCAGTCAAGTGCCTTAGGCAGTACACCACCAGAATATGGTGAGTGTGTATTTTAATGTTGAGTAAGTGTGTATTTTAATGCTTTCAGATCTCTCAACTCACATACCAGGCGGGAATCCCTAAATCCTCCCTTGGATTACCTATCTGGCTGTGTAGCTGCAGGGAGTGTCAAGGTGCAGGGAGGGGCTTATCATATTTAAATTGTTGTTATCAGCTGCCATTATGTTGGCCCCTGGCTCATGGTGACCCATGTGCAACAGACTGTTCCATCTCCATGATTGGACCATGGTGATCCACGAGGTTTTCACAGCTGATTTAGACTCCAGAAGCAAATCCTAAATAATGAAAAGAACAAGCCTGTTCTTTTCTCTCATGAGAGATGCATGATCTCCAGGCCTTTCTTCCTAGTCCATCTTAGACTGGAAGCTCCTTTGAAACCTGTTCAGCATCACAGCAACACACAAGCCTCCACTAACAGATGAATGGTGGATGTACATCAGGTCCATTAGCTGGGAATTGAACCCAGGTCTCTTGCGTAAAAGATGAGAATTCTTCCAACTGGACCACTACTTCCCTTCATTTTTAGGTTAGAGCAGTCATGATTATACCCTCCTAGCCCCACATTTTTCTTTTAATAATGGAGGCCTGTGAAAGTGTGAACCATCAGTGTGGGGCTGCCATGACTGGAGAAGCCCTGTCACGCCTCACACAGGGCTCTACAGAACCCTCAGGGGGCTCTTGGAACCCAGATTGAAAACCCCTGGTTTAGGGCCAACAAGAGGTACCACCTTCACTCAGTTTTAGCCTAGTAGTTTGTTGCTTGTTGTGTAAGAAGGAGGCAGCAACATACCCCTTCTTTGTTCTAGAAAACACATCATGACCTTGTGCTTTCCCTTCTCCAGATATTGCAAAGACTAAATTGGTTACTTCATGTCCCTTGACTATATGTAACAGACCAGTGGGTGGGCATGAGCCTTTTCTCCACACAGACAGCCATGCCCAGAGCATCCACCCCTGCTTCGGTGAAGAGCTGACAGACGGTCTATGGCTTTGATCAGCTGCACAGAACAAGAAAGGGGGTGGGTGGCTCTGGTGTCCTGGATCGGTTGCAAACTATAGCCAGTTGCACTTAGTGCCCTCCGAATCAGAGTATCCTATTCCAGCCTAAGCAAAAACTTTCTGTTTTCTCTCTCTAACTAGTGCGTTTTTTTCCCACTGATTAACCTACTTAATGTGTGTGTGTGTGTGTGTGTGTGTTTAACCTATTAGCCCATCAGTTCTCCACCTTGGTTGCATACTGGAATCACTTAGGGAGCTTCTAAAAATACTGGGGCCTGGGGCATGCCCCAGATGGCTGGGTAATTGGTCTGGGGTGTAGCCTTTGTTAAGAGTTTCTCATAGCCCCCAGGAGATGCTCATATTTAGTCAGGGTTGAGAACTATTGATCCATTCTTTCATGAGAGAAAAATGTCTATCTGAACTCAAATTGTGGTTCTTTATTTTCACAGGTTTATGGAATTGTCATTCGGAAGTGTTAGCTTTTATACTGGGGGTTGATCATCTTCATCCTGAAACAACAAAAAAACAAAACAAAACTCACTGCTGTTGAGTCAGATCTGACTCATAGTGACCCCTCCTTGGCTTTCTGAGGTGGTATCACTACAGAAGTAGATGCCTTCTGAGGAGTGGCTGGTGGGTTTGAACTGCCAGCCTTCTGGTTAGCAATCAAATAAATGCCTTAGGCACTACGCTACTAGAGCTCCCAACAACAGACTAGTTTAAATGTAAATGTGCCCATCAGAAGACCAGTTGACCATGCAGAAGCCCTGGTCTGGAAGATGGCTTCACAGGGGATGTCACTCCTGGGCCGCACACTGGTGTTCAGCATGCGTGTAATGTGGCTGTGGTTGCTGTCACGCGTCATCTGCCACTCAGTGTTCCAGATTTCTGTTTCTTACTGGAAGAGTGTTTTAAATCCTGAGGGGGGATATGTTGTTGTTGTTATTATGTGCCATCAAGTTGGACCCAACTCATAGCGACCCCTCCTTGGGTTGCCGAGGCAATATTACTACAGAAGTAGATTGCCCAACCTTCCTTCCCAACCTTCCTTCTGAGGAGTGGCTGGTGGGTTTGAACCGCCAGCCTTCTGGTTAGCAGTCAAGTATTTGTCTCCTTTGTCCCTCTCTCCCTCCCTCCCTCCCTGCCTTCCTCTACCTTCTCTCCCTCCTCCCTCCCTGCCTCTTTCCTTTCTGCATTTTGAATCCATCTTGTATAGATTGTACCAAGATTTATTTTTTTTAAGTTGTCATGGAGTTGACTCCAGCTCATGGTAACCCCGGGTGTCAAAGTAGAACTGTGCTCTGCAGAGTTCTCAGTGGCTGATTTTGGAAGTAAATCACCAGGCCTTTCTTTCAAGGCACATCTGGGTAGATTCAAACCTCCAACTTTTGGTGAGCAGCTGAGCATGTTAACTGTTTTCACTACCCTGGGACTCCTGTATAAGATAAAACCAATAAAATAGGTTCGATTTTTTGGAAAGTATGATATGCATAGAAATATTTTTTTGTAAGTCCTTGAACTTAAGAGTTAACGCACTCATGAACAACATATTTATTTTATCCCTGTTCTGATTTGAAGCACCACCCTGAGTTGGCGACAACTCTTCTCTGGTTTAAGGAATGCAAATTTAGTCCCTTAAGAATGTCTAGAATATTAGAATTCACAATGTGTTGGAACTGGTTTATTAATTTAAAAAGAACATTGTTTCTGTTCATCTCTGTCCATTGTGAACTCTTTTTAAAAATACAGGACCCTGTAAAGAATTTCTTATTGATACATCCATAAAAATTACATGTAATTCTGCCATTCGGTGATAGCCATTGTTGGTTTAGAACTTAGTTTCTTTTTCTTCTTTCAAATTTTTATTGTGATTTGGGTGCAAGTTTACAGAGCAAATTCATTTTCCATAAGCAGTTCACATATATTTTGTCTCATGACATTGACTGTGATTTCCCAAAATGCAACAGCTCCTCTCCCTCTTCCTCCCCATAGTTACTTCTTCCCTGTGTCCTTCCTCCCATGCACTCCTGCCCCATGAGTTGTCTCCTTGTGCTTACACAGCCCTTCTGTTCTTCCATGATTAATCTTTCCAAGGAGTATATCTGCCTAATGGAAATGTTCAGCTTAGAACTTAGTTTTTTTACTTCTAGAAATACATGCTATAGTTACCTAGTTATATAGGTAGATATTGAAATATTTCTGGAGCTCATAATGAAAATGTAACTTTGAATGTTGTTTTATTGCTTATGCATGTAAGCATTTTCCCATCATTAAAGTTTCATATTCTTTTTACAATTGTAATTATGTCATTGTCATGGCTGTACTTTATATTTATAAATGCACTTTGTATTTATAAATTATATATGTAATTTATATTTTTCACAATGACGGTATGGCACCCACCTAAGTATTTTTGCACCTTTCATAATTATTTTTACCAAATAGATCCAGCGGTGGAAGGATTTTACATATTTTTAGTTAGTATTTCCTAAAAACACATGAGTGCTAATGACTATAAAGCAATGGCTACTATGAGAATGTTGTCTAAGACATTCAGTGGAGAGAAAACTTGTCAAGCGAAGTTAGTTCTGATGAGCTCTGGCCTCACTTCACCCACATGACCATCTGTCCTTGTTCTTTTCCTGGGCTCCCTACAGGACCCGGAGGCTCAGTGCTTGCTGCTGGCAGATGGGAGCGGCTCCATCCATCCCAACCACTTCATCATCCTCCCTGCCGAAGGCGGGAATGCTATGGCTGCCATCAGCTTCACAGGGGCCTTGAGAATACCAGTGAGTTAATGTGCCTAGAAACAGTTTTTAAAATGTCCTTTGTTGTGCTTTCCATGGGGGGCAGGGAAATGTGGCCTCTGTTGACATCAGTCTGGTAAAAGAAATCTTTGATTCCTGAGTGGCATAAGCCAGGATGGCCAACTGTTCCTCTCTGGAGTGAAGGGGGCTACAGCCATGTTTGTTTGGCTTATACTATGTTTTTAAATTTTTTTAATTAATTACCACCGGTGAGAAATTCTGAAATTTTATAGACAAATCTGGCTTCCTATCACTGGGCCTACATCCCTGTGGTTGTGGTTGGGACTGAGGGCTGTAACCCCTACTCCCTTAGGGGTGTCATCAGTCCTTCCCAGTGCTGTTCCCTCCTCCCCAATCCCTCCCTCCCCTACCCCTGAAGGCCTTGAGGCTGAGGCCCTGGGGAGAGAGCCAGTACTGAGTTCTTTTCTGTGATCACAGGTAAGCTGGACGCCTGGCCTCTTGAAGTACTTTTAGTAACATACACCATATCTGATTGACCATGTGTGATGGCATGGGAAGAGAGGTATTGAAAGGGAATATGTGCAGGCCACAGGAGAAAGCCAATTGTAATGCTTGCCAAGAGAAAACTCAAGGGCTTTGTTTATAAATATGTGGGAGAGGTACAACATATGCAATTTCTTGTTGCTTTGGAAGGTTTTCCATCCATCAAATGGCTGGGCTTCCTTGGCAGAGGCTCAAAGGAGCTGGGCAGAAGGCCTTTAAGGCATTTTCTTCTAGCATGATGACCATCAGAGGATACCAGAGGGTGGAGAGCCAAGAGCAGAAGCAGGTGGAGGGGTCACTGCCAGTGGGGTGGGCTGGGGCTCCAGGCCCTACTATTGTAGGCCTATGGAGCATTTTTAGAAATGTCAGGTCTCCTGCTCTGGGTGCTGATGATCAGACACCAGGAGTAGGAGGTGTGGCTCTCACCCTCAGACAAGGCTGTTTCATTAATGCTCCCCCTCAGGGGAAAGGGGCGAGGGAATATGGACTCAGGGGCCTCGCAGTGGCTGTGAGGCTGGAGACTAGTCAGGACAACCCGAATAACCCAGAACCTTAACATAACACCCCATCTCCAGTCCTTGAGGAAACTCGAGACCTGGAAAACAAAAAGCATTGCTACTGTTCAGATGAACTGGGTCTACAGAGCAGAGGCCTGGGCTGCTTTTGGCCATCAGCCAATCACTAAGAAAGAGTTGGAGGAGCAGAGATTAGAAACTGCCAAATTTAAATGCAAATGTATTCCTAAAATTAACTTCTTTGTAACAACTAGTAACCTTTCTATTGCACCTTACAATATGGCTGCCTCACCTATTTTACTAAAGGTAGTAACATACCAATAATACATATATGTAAAACTTGTGGGTGGAGTTGTCCAGAGTACAGACACTTGCCTGGCCACCAACTAGCTGAGTGCCCAGCAGACCGGTTAACCACACTGAGCCTCCATTTCCTTGTTTGAGATCCAACACCAAGTTGAGTACTTTTTATGTTGTTCTGAGGATCAAATAAAAGTATTTCATTATAGCACTAAGCACAAGGCCAGGCAGGCAATAAATCACACACACACACACACACACACTTACACTCACACACACACTCAAAATCACATTCACGCACACACACACTCAGGACATACATGCACACACACTCACATACAATTCATATATCCATACTGGTATATCAATTTTGAAAACATTAAGTTTAATTTTAAAATAATTCTGGGAAGCTGAGTACATGTGTGCTCTTCACCTAGATTTGGTGGATGTTCTTACACACAAATACCATGGGAAAGGGGAGAATTCAGCACCTTAGTGTGAGTGGATTTTCCACTCAAATATCTCAAGTAATATACCTGGAATTATATTCTCACAGTGCTGCTTCTTATTACAGGTAGATACAAAATGCAAATACTGTTTGTGAAACCCAAGTAAATGTTTCAGAGTACCCCTAGAACTTCAAACCTCAGCTTCCTCATTAGTACCTGCATTAATTTATCTTTCCATTGTTTCCCCAGCGTTCCCAGGTCTATATTATTTAGGCAGAGTGCACCAGCCTGTGGAACTTACAGAATGGTCACAATGATTTGTTCTGTGTATGTCAGGGTCACTGTAACTTGCACTTGTTTCAGTTTCAGGGGAAAATGAAATAGCCATGGACCACTCACTAACTAGATGGGTCCCCACAACACCACACACCATGAGAAACCCCTCAGTAGCTGTGTTTTCAGAGCTGTGTGGTGTGAGGTGTAACATCGTAACAGGTTGGCATGAGCTGTGGGTGAGTGAGTCTATGCCAGTCATCTCTGATTATTTCACCTTCCTAGATTGCTCTGTCCCACGGTGAGGATACTCTGTCCCTATACAGAGCCGGAGGTGCTAAGACCAGACCAGAGACCCAGGATATTTTATGAGAATGTTGCATATTTAAATAAACTGCTGAGTACACATTTGCTGAGTACACACGGCTTGCTTTCTCTTCTAGGGTGTAATAGAGTTCTCTCTGTGTTTGTTGTTTGCCAAGTTGGTCAGCTACACTTTCCTGTTTTGGCTTCCATTATACATCACAAATGTGGGTGAGTATATGTTTTAGAAGCATGAATGTAAAGCTCTGTGCAGTGACTATGGTCTGAACTGCCTTTTATCTGCTGGTTTTCATGGTGATTTGAGAGGCACGCCTTGAATCGAACAATATGATTAATAGAAAGGTATAGACTGGGTATGAGAGTTTTACTGCTGTAATAATAAATGTCATGGGATTGAAAGAATTGATACGCTGTATCCCAGCTCTGGCCCCCAGTGCCATTGGATGCTTCGTATTCTGGGGCAGCCTGATTTTAAATTTGAGCTGTGTCAGACTTTGGATCACAGCATCCAGTGAGCCATAGTGGGCCTTCTGTGGCTCCAAGCTAATAAACTTTTAATGATTTGCCCTGGAAATTGCTTCTTGGAGATAAGTTCTAATTTGGGGAGGGCCAGCACTTTGTCTACACTTCTAAAGTCCAGCAGTGGCTGAACATACCAGGAAAATACTATGTGACTCCCTGCAGTGTGCGGGCACCGCAAGGAAGCAGAGAGGAGAGAATCGACAGTCCTTCAGAGAGGAGGTTGTATGTGTATGTGTTGGAACCATGGCAGGAAGGGGTGGGAACGGGATCAAGAGGAGAGAAACTTGAGAAGGTGTGTGGGTTTGAAAAACACAAACACACATTCCAAATAGTATCATGAGGGCAAATTGAAATTGATATGAACCTGAGGGATGGAAGTTGAGGGGGAGTGTGGAGACTGTCCTACAGGGTACTTGTGAGCAGGGATGGGATCTGTACAAGGGAGGGATGGTAGACAGTGAAGAGGTCATATTGGTGATCGTGCTGAGTTGGTAGAAAAATAGCAGAAGAACAGATGGGCTCATAGATTCAGGTCCCTGAGGTTCTGGCAGCCCCTGCCTCATTACAGCAGGTGAGCTGCATATACAAACACAAGCAGTACTCTATCTAGACATGACAGGCACCTGGTAGACTGGCAGAGTGTCTTCTTCGCTCCTGAGGTTCCTTATGACTGCACAAGCAATGGCACTGTACATAGACAAAGGTCTTGAATTGCTGACACATCCTGTGAGTGAGTGTTTGAAGAAAGCAAGTTCTTATGAGTGCCATTCAAGGCATTAGGAGAGATGGGACTTAATCAACCATTCTGAACACTCCTTAAGACTCATTCTCCCTACATTGGTTAACTGTAATTTCCTCCAAATTTCAAGACTGTGCAAGGTCCAGTAGGGAGAATTGTAGGACCTAAATTTCCTCACCTGTAATATGAGAAGGTTCCAGTCCATATGGTTAGATGATTTGTATTGAAGGAAATTCTTGCAGGCCCAGAGGCATTTGAGGGCTATTTCCCTAGGTACTTTTTCACAGGCCTTACTTCTGTCCAAGGTGCTCTGGTGGCACAGTGCCTAAGGCATTTGCCTGCTAATCAGAAGGTTGGTTATTCAAACCCACAAGCCACTCCATAGAAAGAAGATGGGGGCAATCTACTTCCATAAAGATTTACTGCCTCAGAAACCCAATGGGGCTCACTATGAGTTGGAATAGACTTGATGGCAGTAAGTTTGGTTTTTGGTTACTTCTGTCCTTCTTTGTTGCTTTTAACTTATGGCTACCACAGAGGACCCACAAAATGGGATAGTAATTTGACTCAGCAGAATAAACCCTAGTTTTTTGGTTAGAGTGGTTTTCATTGTTTGTGTTTCTACCCATAGTCGATGGCTTTTTAAGAAAAAAAAAAAAAAAGGTATGAATTGACTAATATTTACCACTTGTTTTAAATCATGTGTGTGAAACTGAAGATTCTTCTGTGTGGATCTGTCATGCCCTGACTTCCTCCCAGTAACACTGTGGAAGAGAGCACCCTTACTAACTAGAGCCATGTTGTTACTTTCTAGATCACCTTGATGCCCAGAAAGCGGGGGAGCTCTCCACCTTGTTTGATGTTGGCGGAATCTTCGGTGAGTCCATTGCTGTTTATTCTACATTGACAAGTAATTTAACAATAGCCCCAGTGGCCCAGGATCTCTTGGAATGTGATTTACCACTGAGAGGGAAATGCGTGCCTGAGTGAGCTCTTGTGTCATTGAGTGGACTTGGCCCAGCAGTACTGTGGCCATCACTTGGGGGAAGGCCTCCTTTCCCTCCTCCTGGGCCCTGACTCTGACCTTAAACTAGCACTCCCTCAAAGACAGGAGCCTGCCTCACAAGGAGGTGGTGAACCAGATGGGGGTGGGACCTGGCCTAAACCCCAATCTGCAAGATAGCCCACATGGTTTGTTCTGGTTACCTAGTGCCACTCTGACAAGAATATACCACAAGTGGGATGGCTTGAAGAAACAGGAGTTTATTCTTACAATTTTGGAGGCTAGAAGACCAAGTTCAAAGTGTCTGGCTCTAGGGGCTGGGTGAAAGCCCTCAACCTTGGGTTTCAGCTCTGCCTTCTACTCCCAGCCCACTGAAGGAAAAGGCTTTTCTTCACTCAGACTGCTGCTGGCTCCTGAGACTGACAAGCCCAAGGTTGACAAGTAGAAAGGCATAGCCCCAATATTACCAAACCACACGGCAGGCCATTAATTCAAGTCCATTGAAAGTCCCAAGGTTGGCAGAGCATGACAGGCTGCTGAACAACACAATACAGGGTCCAAGCATACCATAAACTAGAGACCATTCCCCAAGCCGCCTTTTTATATACAGGAAGCAGATCACATCCCTAAGGCAGTTACTCAGCTGCTCACAGTAGATTCTACCATGGAGTTGATTACCCATCTCATCATGGGGAATACCACATCTAGCTGCCCAGCCATTCAACCAGGCCCAGCCAATTTGACACACAAACTTAACTACCACATGATCTTTCTGGAAAGAATCCTCCCAGGCCACTCCCATCTGACCCACAACCAAGCAAGGTCTCAGAGTGAGTCAGGCACTACAATGACAAAGGGGAAGGGGCTAGGAAAAAGAACTCTTTTTCCATGTCCTGTAATGTGTGTTCTCTTTCCCATTGGTGGGACCCACAATCTCCTTTGCAGGTGGGATCCTGGCAGGCCTAGTCTCAGACCGCCTGGGGAAGAGGGCCTCCACCTGTGGCCTGATGCTGTTGCTTGCTGCCCCAACGGTAAGCCTGGTCAAACTTGAGCTGCCTGGAGTGCATCCTTGTTCAGCCCCCCACCACCACAACCCACACTGAGCCCACCCTGTGAGGAGTATGGTGCTGGGCTAGTCCACACTGGAGCTCTGAATCCTGGAGACTGCCCGAGGTCCTACCTCCTAGAAGGCCTGGTTTTGGTGGGGGTCCAGGAGTGAGTTGTCTTACTCCGTGTAAAGCCTTGGGTGGTAGAGCTGAGCTGTCACCCTGGCCAGGGAGTGTCCTTTGAGGGTAGCCTTGTGAGCTGCTCACCAGCCCTCCTACTGGCTTTCAGAAAGACCATCCCAAACCTATTGTTGTCTAATTTCTACATCTTACATGTTGGTCTCCAGTCTCCTGCATTCTTCGTCCCAAGGTGGCTTTACCAGCTCTTATTCTCCCTTTCTGTTTTGTTTTGGACCCTGGCCTATTCCTCAGTCCCCACTATATCAGGGCCATGGTCAGACCTGGCCTTTGCCTCCCACTAGTAAACAAAATGCTGAGCTGCTGCCAGCCTCCCTTACACCTGTATCCTTCTCCTATATTAGTCAGCTCTCAGGGACCTCACAGCTCCAGAATTTTCTCTTCTTTCTCTTTTCCTCATCTCCAAGTCTCCTAAATAAATAAATAGAACACCCCAAATCTCTCATGTATGTACTCTCATGGACACTCACTGCTGCCTTTGTCTCAGCCCTAATATGTCTGGATGCAAATGCCCACTATTCTTCCCCCACAAAACATTCTTCCTGCCTGGCCTGTGTTCACTTTCTTGACAGGCTAACGTCACTCATGGCCTTGATTTCTGAATGCTTGTCACTGCCTTGAATCTGTCTTGGCTTCTCAGTACACCCGGTATCCCTGCCAACATGTCACATGAGCTGCTCTTGAATGCACTGTAGGCTCTGGTCTTCTCCACAGGGGGGCCTTTTCTCTCTCCTACAAGCTCCTGCTCATCCTTTAGGATCCTCAACATCTTCCTCCCCGACCCCCAAGGCAGTGTTAATCTTTCCCATCAAAACACTTGGTTTATGCGACTTATGACGTATTTAGTACCTCATGAGTTGGAGGAGGGAACTTCGCCTCACTGTGCCTCTGTTTCCTCATCTGAAAAATGAAGATGGCAGGAGTACTCACCTTATACTAATCCTGACTAAGGGGAGGACCTGGTGAGCAGGAAAAACTCTTGCCCTCCAGGACCTCACACCAAAATGTAGACAGATAGCTTTGGACAATCTTGTGGCTACTACTAGTAAACCATTGTTTTCCCACTGTTTACAGCTCTACATATTCTCCACCATCAGTAAAATGGGTCTAGAAGCCACTATAGGTAAGTATTAGTGGCTTATCTTTCTTTTCACATAGTCCGGTGAAGAGAAATACAAAAAACAACAAAGAAGCATTAGGCTGGTGTAACAGAAGCATATGGTATGTCTAAAATAGTCCCTTGTCCCTCTTTGGATAGGGCCACTGGAAGAGACCCATGGGGACCCTTGCTCCCAGGAAAGAATAAGGCTTGACCATTTACCTCAGAGCATGCATGGGGGATACAGGGACCTAGACTAGAACAGGGATGCATGCTGAGTGCCCATGGGAAGGGAGCCTCTTGGAGAGAAGCCAGATTTAAATGGAAGGCAGTTCGTCCCCCTCATGGGTCCTCTTACCCCTCCCTGTGCCTCCACAGCCAGCCATACCTTGGGGCTGGGTCTGACGGCCCTGGGCAAGGAACACTAGAGTCAGGCTTGCCCTTGGACTGTGGCAAATGCAGAGAGGTCTGGCCTATGGTCTCCCCATCTGTCTGTCTCCTCTCAGCTGGCTGGCTTTCTGGGAGCCTAAACCCCTGGGAGCATTGTGGGAGGGTTGCATGACAATGGAGGACTATTTTTAACTTTCTGCCAGCAGTGCTGTCAGATTATGCTTCTGGCACTTGATAAATATGTTTTCTCTCCTAATAAGCCAGCAGTGGGGACTGGGCGGGAAGGGGCATATGTGTGGTCATCTTACAAGGTGTCTGAAAGCAAGCTGCCAGTGCCAGGAGGGCATGATGTTTTCTCCAAGTTTCTCTGTCCCATAAGAATATGGACAAAGAATATGAGTCCAGAGGACAGTTTGAGAAAGTATGTTTATCCTGCCCATGGTGAGCATGGTCATGATGGGGCTCTGAGTTTCATTTGGGGGCTGCCACCAGTCCAGTAGCTGTCAGTGATGAGAGGAAAGCTTTTCTGCTGCAGAAGAAGCAGTGGCTGGCTGTAGCTGCCCTAAACCTGGGCAATCCAGCATCCAACAACACAGGTGACTCCTGGGCATAGATCTGTGCTCCTGTCTGCCAAGTTCTCTTCCTCCCAGTGTGCCCAAAGCCACTGTCCATGGAGGACTGGTCAACTGAGCACCCTCTGGAGCAATAGCCTAGCTCTTCAGGAAATTGTGGTTGACTTAAAAATGTTAACAATTGGCAAATTTTTAAGGAGACAATTATGATGCATGCAGATCTCAGAATTATCACTCCCTTGACTTGCTTGGGCATCTTCTGCATCACCTTGACTGTGTCTCCACGTAAGTCAGGCACACAGGTTCATCATGTGGTAGCCAGACATGTAACTCCATGCACACAGTGCCAAGGGCCCACCCAAAGGATTTCTAAGAACATGCAGACTTTCCCAGAAGGAACTTTTCTGTTGACTGAATCCCCTTCTGGTTTTTCTAGCAATGCTGCTACTCAGCGGGGTCCTAGTCAGTGGACCATATGCACTGATTACTACTGCTGTCTCCGCTGACTTGGTGAGTGGAACATAGCATGAGCTGTGAAATGGAACACTTGTCACAGTGGTCATCTTGTCCACTCTGTGACAAAGTTGTCTAACATTAGTGAAACACTGTTTATAAGCAGCTCTTTTCACATATACCTTTTATCTATGCTCTTAAGAGTTTTCTGAAGCAAATAATGGAAGACTGCAGCCTCTGTTCTGCAGACAAGGAGGCTGAGATGATGTAAAGGGCCTCTATAGTCAGGCTCTGGCCCTGAGTTTGAAGCTGGCAGTTGGACTTGCTCCTTTGTGCTGCCCTTGTTAACTGGCTCAGCCCTGGGGCCTGGTGTCCTTCAGGGCTGTAGCAAAGCAAGTTCCATCCTTTCCTTCTCATTCTGCTCGCTCTTGGTTCCCACTCCATGCTGAGCCCTCAGCTGTTCTGTGGGACTACAGAGATGAGACACATGGGGGCCTTGCCTGGGAAGATCACAGCATGGGAAAGAAGTGGTCAGTGCACAGAGTGGTGAATGCTGTAATACCAGAACCAGTGCTTTGGGATCCAAATGAACCACTGACTAATTCTTCCAGAGGAAGAAAGAGATGTGTGTGTGTGTGTGTGGGGGGGGGGGGTTGTCCTGACAAGGTGGCATTTATGTCTGATTTTAGAGACCCCAGTTCAACCCCAAGAGAGTCAGAAGTACATTTACCTCCCTGGTATGAAAAACAGAAATTGCCTATGGTAATTACAGATCAACATCAAGAGTGTTGTTATCTTGAGAACACATACCCTGTTATGATACGATGAGAAGAGCACATTACCTCTCTGTTCCTCCTCCCTAAAATCTATAACTCCAGTATAATTATGAGAAAAATATTAGACTAACCCAAGCTGAGTGATATTTTACAAAATACATGGCCAATAATCCTCAAAACAGTCAAGGTTATCAAATACAAGGACAGTCTGGGAAACCGTCCCGGCCAACAAGAGGCTAAGGAGACATGATGATGAAATGTCATGTGGTGTCCTGAATGGATCTTAGAACAGAAAAAGGACAATTGGGGAAAACTAAAGAAATCCAAATGAAGTTTGGATTTTAGTTAATAATAATGCATCAATATTAGTTCATTAACTGCAACACATATAGAAAAACAATACATAACTGGACAGTGGGTGTACAGAAACCCTGTACTATCTTTATAAATATTCCATAAGCCTAAAGCTATTCTAAAATTCAAAGTTTATTTAAAATAAAAAGAAGTTCCCCAAAGAGGTTTTGTGGACTCATGGACATGAGGCATTGGTTTGGTACATCCCCTCATACTTGAGTTCCCTCTCGACATTCTTGCTGGACTCCATGATCATTTCTCCTCTCCTTCTCTGAAACCCCTCCTAGAATCTTCCCCAGGGGCAGGATCCCCAGACTCTAGAAACCACTCATTGTCTGTTCAAAAACCATACATGCCTTGTCCCTCTGCAGTCTTCCTTGATCTGTCCTAATAGCCACTCTCCCTCAGGGTTACAGGGAGGATGTCTGGCCCAAGAGACTCAACCTCATTTAGAGCAACAGAAAGCTCTCATGCACTGTCTTCAGCAGGTCTGATTTATTTTCAGTCCTGAAATAGCCAGAAACTCTTGTCCTTGACAGGATAGAGGAGAAATGTCCAGTGTAGCAGCATTGGGAAAGTCAGCTTCTCTCACTTCCTTCCTATTCACCACATCATTGACCCAAAGTAGCAGGTCTTGCCCTGCCTTGACCACCTGTGTGTTTGGAATGCACCTAAAAATGCTTTTACAAAGTGTGTCCTTGAGTATGCATGAACGTGTACATACTTATGTCTGTAGGGCATAGAAAATTCCAGAAAGATCTACACAAGACCATTAACAAATCTATCCTCACAGAATTAGAGAGCAGAGAAGGGATTTCCACTTATTTTTGTAGACTCAAAAAAATGAAAGACCCTGAGTTTTTTGTACCTGTGCTTTTTCTTGTTTTAGATCATATACGTGTATATACACGCACATACACATACACACAAGCATCTGTTTTTTTCAACCTTTAATTCATTTTTAGAACTTTAGACTTCCAGGCACTATTTTTCCTGATTTTTTTTCTTTTATTCCTTTTATTGTTCTCAGTTTATGCTGTTTCTTTCACCTTTCATATCAGACTTTTTTAAAACTAGAGTTCCTATTGGTTTGACATGTAGCACTTGCATTCCTATGATGGTTTCTGGGCTTTTGCTGTTAGTCTGGTTGAGTTTTAGACACTGCAGATATACCCAATATATGTCACAGCTCAGGAATTCAGCAGACACATGGAAGGGGATGCTAATGCCACTGTGGCTTGGGGATAAGGAACATGTGCTGTTCATCTTTTTATCTCCCACATTTACATGTGTGGTACCCCAAAGAAGAGTATGACTGTACTGAATAAATATTTATTTATTTGAAGACAATTCTAAGAGTTTAGTAACTGGAATACACTGGGACAGGTACATTTTATGGTTTTTTACTATTAAAAACCACTGAAACTTTACCTTTCCTAGGTAAGTTTTGGTTAGAGTAGAGTTTAAATTTTCTAATGGAAAATATCCCATGGGCTGAATTGTTTTACAAAGTTATTTGAGTAAGTTGTTGTATGGAATGCAGAAGTTTATTTTTCAGCTCTATAGCTTTTGAGTTGGGCTTCACATTTTTTCTTCTCTTCTAGGGTACACATAAAAGTCTGAAAGGAAATGCCCATGCCCTCGCTACCGTGACGGCCATCATCGATGGAACTGGATCTGTAGGTACGTGGAGAATTTTAGCTCTAAGAGGGTGATGTTGTCTTGGGGAAGCCATATTGTCCCATTCTAATGAACTTATGTCCAGAATCCCAACTGCCTCGTTAATACTAGGATCGGCTGGCCTTCTTAAAATATAACCAAATCAAAATGTCAGCATGTGGGGAGTGTCCTCAGGTGGTTGGGTAGTTCAGAGGCAATAAAAGGGAGTTTCTGATTGGAGCTAGTTTTCTGTGTCAGGTTTTAATCTAAACCACAAGTTGGCAGACTACAGCCCATGGGCTAAATTTAGCCCAAGTCCAGAAGGGCAGAATCATATTTAAATTGTGATTACAGAAAAATTAATAGTCTGAAAGCATACTAGATTCTGAATGTTACCAGCCTCATTAAGGCTCTAGAAGAACATTCAGTAATATCTTCTGGAGAAAGGAAAAGTGGCAACATAAACCACTCATCCCCTCAGTGACTACACAGGTGGGAATTGGTATAAAACGCCAAGTTTTATACCTCAGCAAGTCAATGAGGGTGTCCTCAATATTTTTGCCCTTAGCCTTTGTGTTGTTATTGTTGTTGTTATGTGCTGTTGAGTCGTACCTGACTCATAGCGACCCCTCCTTGGGTTTCCAAGGCACTATCACTATGGAAGTAGATTGCCCCATCTTCCTTCTGAGGGGTGACTGGTGGGTTTGAACCACCAGCCTTCTGGTTAGCACTCAAGTGCCTTAGCCACTATGCTACCAGAGCTCCCAGCCTTTGTGTAGGGAGTATGAAAATTGTGGACTTTCTCTGCCGAGGTCCCAAGAGCTGCCCTGGGTTGGAGCCTCATTGTCAGTCAACACCCTCAGGTGTCTCCTCTCTGTGTATGGGAGTTAAAGTTAGGGAAGGTCAACTGATGTGGATACCACAGCTGGTCAAGAAGGGTCTGAAATTGGAACTGGCATGTCTCCTGCAGCTCCCAACTCATAACTTAGTGGGAAGAGTGAGGAGGAAGGGTGGATGGGGAGGGTACTTAGGGCACGGTCTGTGCTTACACCCTCATAGCAGTAAAATGAAAGGGTATGCTGGACAAAGGCAGTACAGGCAGATTGTTGTGTGAATCAGCAAACACACAGTAAAGCAGAGCCCAGCACTCAGGACTGCCATTCTGTTCAGTTTTAGCCAACAGATTTTTCTCTGGCCTCTTCCCATAGCCCGTTATGCTAGCTGGACAGAAAATACCCGCAGTAGGTTTCTTGGGCTCCCAACACTCTCTAACTAATGCAGAACCTAAAGTCCTTTCCGCCACTTGCTCCTCCTCAGTTTACAGCCACACAACCTCCTTGCTGCTCCCCAAAAGCCACAGAGGTGATCCTATTCTATGTGGGGTATACCCTGTGCCTGAGACATTATTCTCTCAGTAGCACCAGGCCTTACTCCCTTGTGTCACTGAAGTCTTTGTTCACATATCACCCTCTCAGTGAGACCATTCCAGGCCCCCCATTCACACTATGTGAATCCCTCCTCTCCATATTCAAGGTCTCTCTTCCTTGTCTCCACAGCATTTACCACTTTCTCAAATATGTTGTTGTTATATGCCATCGAGTTGGACCTGACTCATAGCGACCCCCCTTTGGGTTTCTGAGGCAATATCACTATGGAGGTAGATT